CCTGCCCATTCCATGTTGGGTTCATGTTTTCCTGGAGCAATTCCTGCCTCTGCAGCCTGTCCCTGCCCATTCCATGTTGGGTTCATGTTTTCCTGCAGCAATTCCTGTCTCTGCAGCCTGTCCCTGTTCCTGGTTTGGTTCAGGGCTCAACCCCATCCCTGCCAGAGCAGGAGGGCCAGTGTGGGTCTGTCTGCAAGGAAATTGGTTTTGCAGAGTGCTCAGCCCACCTGGCACCGTGGTGACAGACATATTTTATGAAAAATCCTTTTGTCAGGATCTTTTCTCCTGAGAAGCTTCAGCTTCTCCATGTTCTGCTGCTTTGGAATGTGATCTGGAGAATTATTTACCCGGCATGTGTAATTGTTTTTACTTGATGACCAATGACAGCCCCACCTGTGTCGAGGCTGTGAGCAGCCACAAGATTTTATTACCATTCCATTCCTTTCCTTTGCAGGCCTTCTGATGTCTCCTTCCTCTTTTCTTCTAGTGTAGTTTTAACACATAATTTTCTTCTAATATAACATATATAATAAAATAACAAATCAGCCTTCTGAGACATGGAGTGAAGATTCTCATCTCTCCCTGCTCCAGGGACCCATGAGAATCCATGTTTCAGAAGGCTGATTTATTATTTTATCATATATATTATATTAAAAGAAACTGATATATTAAAACTATACTAAAAGAATAGAAGAAAGGATTTCATCAGAAGGCTTGAAAGGAAAGGAATGGAATGATAACAAAAGCTCCTGACTCTCAGAGAGTGTGAGACAGTTGGACTGTGATTGGCATTAATTAAAAACAACCACATGATACCAATAAAAGATGCACCTGTTGCATTCCACAGCAGCAGATAATTATGATTTTTCTTTTCCTCTGAGGCTTCTCAGGAGAAAAAATCCTAGCAAAAGGATTTTTTATAAAATATGTCCGTGACAGTGGTGTGCAGGTGAGCTGGGCTCAGCCTGGCATCTGGAGCACCCCTGCATTCCCCAGGGCCACCAGTGCAGCCTTCCCATGCTGGCTCCTGGATTGCCATTGTTTTTTGGGGGGGTTTGTCTGTTTGTGAAGATTTTTTTCTCCCTATTTTAGAAATTGTTTTTGAGGTTTTTATTTCGCTCATATATAGAAAGTTTCAATTATTGGAGAAGTCTCCATGATAGCAAGATGGTACAGATATTGTGTAACATCAGTGCACACTAAAATTACATTTTTTCCAGAAGAACTAAGGAAGAAAGATTCCCCCTAACTGGAATTTTGACATACAAAATCGCTGAAAAGTTTTTCATCCGTTTTGCTGGAGAAATCAGAATTAATTTTATGCTGATATCTCTCAGGGTGAAACCATAGCAGGTATTTTGTCCTAGGGAAGAGCTCCAGAGCAGGAGCACAGGAGAGTGGATTTTTGGCTTTTTCCTCCAAAATCAGGTCAGAGGTCAGGCCTTAGGGACACAGAGGTGAACCTCCAGACCTCTCTCCCTTTTCTTTGCCAAACACAGCAGCAGTTTTGGAATCAGCAGTTTGCCCAAAGAGCCACCAGCTGAAGCTTTAAGCTGCAAACAGGGGCCAGCCAAACTCTCCCTTTTTTTTAACAAAAATATCCTTTTGGCTCCAGCAAATTTCCCTTGCAAAATGCTGTCTAATACACACAGTAATCCTGAATTACTCCTGTGGCAAGCACCAGCCAGGTCTGCAGAGCGGGGGGCTCATCTGCATTGCAAAGCTGCCGTCGGTGTCTGGGAAGGCTGAGGCACTTTTATTCTGATTTCCCTTTGAAGCCAAGTAACCACCGTGGCATTATCTGCATCTGGGCTGGCACTGACGGGCTGTGGTGGTGCCTTTATCCCTGGCTCCCTGGAGACAGCACAAGGGGTAATCAACAGCCTCGAGTGCTCCGAAACTGAGCCTATTTTTTCCACTGGATTAGCAGCAGCAAATGCACAAGCACATTATTAAGATGGTGCATTCATTTCTTTGGAGTCAGGATGGAATTTTGATAGAGTTAAAAACCCATTAATATTTACATCACTTAGTGGTGCTGGGAGTAAGTACATTTATTTTAACTCAAGCTGCAAAGCATTTGGTTCTTTGTAATTACAGCGCTGCTATTAAGTATTCATAAAGCTGCACAATAGAGTGTCACAGGAAACCTGGTTTAATTTAGTGGTAAGTCAATGTTTTAGGTCTGTGTAAAAACAGAAACTAATTTACCAAGCCTTCTTGCTTGTGTTTTCCCACCTGGGCTTTGCAAACTTTGCTCAGCTTGGCTCTGTTCAAGCTCCTTTTTGTACCTGGGGAAGTTGGGAAGTTGCTGGGGGAGCCTTGCAGGTGTGCAGGTGGTTTGGGATGGGCACAGGTAGGATGGGGGAGAGCTGGAAAGGTGCCTGATGGAAAAAGAGCTGGAATTGCTGGTGTAAAGCAGCCAAACATGGGCTGGAGGGTGCCAGGGGTCAAAACAGCGAGGGCACCTGGATCCTGCAGTGGGTGTCTCCAATCTGCACTTATGGGAGACCCTGGCACTAATCCCTGTGTTTCTCCCCTGCAGGATGAGGTCTCTCCTATGGACATTGAACTCCCAGCTGCCTGAGCCTGCTGCCTGTGATGGAAGAGCTGGATGTGAATGTGAGGTATGCATCAAAATGCGCCTGCAGGGCTGCAGGGGAGCATTTCCCCCCTGGTGCAGGTAAATCTCTCTGCTCATGCAGCAGGGCCTGGTTTGGGGTTTCCTGGAGCTCCTCTGAGCTCGTGACATCACCCTGGTGTTTGAGAGGTGTCAAACGTGGCCCAGACAAGTCAAGGATTTCTTTTCAGTTGAAAATGTTATGAATTTTGAAAAGGTTGCAGTGTGATGTTGGAGAGACGTTCCTGGAAATTTTTGACAGTTCAGTTTGGAGCTTGCATTCATCACAGCTCGAGGGAGGTGGCAGACCTCATTTTCTCTAATTCCAGAGTAGAAAAATAAATGACCCACGAGTATTCCCTATTTATATTTTATTTGATTTTTTAACTTCACGTGGCTCAGAGATTGTTATTGGGTACATTTATTACAGGCAGTAGGTTAATGAGATCCTGTCAAGGGGTTTGAAATGAAAACCTCAATTTTGTCATGGCAATCCAGAGAGGCCAAGCTTTGCCTGGCTTGGGCTCTTACCAGTGTAAATCACAATTGTGCCATGTTTGGGACTGTGAAAACCTCCCCAGACTCTGGTGAGGCTCCATCATCCCCCTGCAGAGCATTCCCAGGTGCCAGGAATGAAGCAGAGCCTCTGGTGGTCTGACAGCCCCTCCATATGTCATGGCAGCTAAATCTCATTCTCTTGTATTTCTGGAGCGCAGGTGACCCTTATCTGCACCAGTTCTGCATGGCAGTTTTGCCCTGCATTTTCTGCCTTTTTTCCCTGACCTTTTCCCTCTGCTCCTTCTCCTCCTTTCACCTCCACTCACCTTTTTTTTTTCCCACTCCTTTTTTCCCAACTTTTTTTTTCTGCCATTTTCCCCCCACATGGTTTTTCCCACCTGATTTTTCCTTCCTTTTCTCCCCACGTTTTTTCTTTAGCCTGCTTTTTTCCTGCCTTTCCCCCCCTTCTTTTTCCTGCACCTTTTTCCCTGCCTTTATTTCCCCCACCTTTTTCCCTCCCTCACCTTTCTTCCCATTTCTTTCCCCTTTACCCATTGCAACAATTTAGGAAATGGCATTTAACTAAGAATCTGAGCTTTGCTCCAAGCTGGCACCTGATTTTCCTGGGCTGGCTGAAGCTTTCCTTGGAAAATCTCCTTAATGCTGCTAGGGGAAGATGTGTGCTAATGGCTTCACAAACAATTCCAGGGGTGTTAATTAATTAATGGCTTTGAAATGGCTCTGATGTCTCAAGGGCAAGGCTGTTGCAGACCAAGACAAGTTTGACTCCTGAATTTTCGGGTCACAGATAAAGGCTCAGCACAAACCTGTGGGGAAAGGAAGAGGGCTGCAGGCAGCCAGGAAATTTGAGATTCCCTTGTGGAAACTCTCCTTTTATTCTAATCAAATTGCAGATTCCTCTGTCTCCTTTATGGATGCTGGCTTTTCCCATACATGGGAAATATGGAAATATTGATCCAACAGGTTTTTTTCCAGGCAGATTTTGGGATATTGTCCTGAATGCTTCAGTAAAGAGTTCTTGTTTCCTCAGGTTGTTACAGTCTGGATAAACAGGTGGAAAAAAAAAATCCCCAGCACCTTTAATGCTGGTAAACAGCTTTTACAAAACCCCTTTAATTCCAGCTGCTGGTGAAGGCAGACTCCCTTTGCAAAAACAAGGTATTATTTCAGTTTGCCACAGCAGTAATTGCCTTTTATTTTTAAGCTGAGCCCCCAAACCCGCTGAATTTTAGATTGATGTTAATTGCTTCCAAACTTGGCTTTATCAGCTTTACTTTTCTCACTTTGCTGCTGAAGGTGTTTTTGTGGCTTGAAAAGTGCAGAGCCCTCCAGCAGCTCTGTGTGCAGCTCATTAATCTTATCTTGACTTTGAGGAATGAGCAGCAAGGCGAGGGAACGAGGAATCACATCGGTTTGGGTTGGTTGTGTTTGTTTGGAAGCAAAGGCAAAATCCCAATTTTTAACCCAAAACTCTGGTACAGAGGCACAGTGTGCTGAGAGCTGGCCTCCATCCACACCCCTGGCAGGGAATTGTGTGTTTGGGGAGTCCCAAATCCTGGAGTTTGCTGTGCTGGTTCCTTCTTTCCATGGAGCTGAGATGGGTTTGGCTCCTGATGCTGGGCATGGGCAGGAGGAAGCAGGGAGGGTCCTCAATCCCCTCTCCCCATCCAAACCTGGGAGAAACAGGAGCAAAAGCCATGGAGGGAGAGAGGGGGACCCAAAGCCCCATCCCTGGAGCTCCAGGATGTCCTGGAGGAGCTGGGGGTGCCCTCAGTGCCAGCCACTCCTGAGAGTGGGCTCACTGACTGCAACCAAACAGGCACCAACATGGCCCAAAGTGTAGGAAATGGAAGGAGCTGAGGGAAGAGTTTGTGTGCCCTGAGTGCCCTGGCAGTGGGGATCCATGGAGAGCAAACAGCTGAGGTTGCAATGAAGTGTTTATTCCTGTGTACACAAGGTCTTTGCAAAACCTCTCCAGCTCCTACACTTGGAGCCATTAAATCATTGTTTATCTCGAGTCCTTTGATCACTCTTGTGTTTAGGTGAGAAATAGCAGGCTATAAAATGTCATTTAACAGGCCACACTCAGCCTGGAGCTCTCTTCCTCCTTCCTTTTCCAAGGGAAGATCAGCTCTAATCCTTCTGTGGATCAGCAGCACCCAGCCAGAGAGGGATTTGCTCTTGCATTTCTGCAGAGATCAATGAACTGATGGGGAAGATTTTCTGCCAAACCCTTCTCCGCCTGGTCCCCCAGGCTGGGGAAGGGTCTGGAGCACCAGGAGGGGCTGAGGGAGCTGGGAAGGGGCTGGAGAATTCCTGAGGGAGCTTGGAAGGGGCTCAGCCTGGAGAAAAGGAGGCTCAGGGGGGCCCTTGTGGCTCTGCACAGCTCCTGACAGGAGGGGACAGGGACAGGATGAGAGGGAACGGCCTCAGGGCAGGCTCAACTACTGGAAAGGGGTTTTTTAGCTACTGGAAATCCTTGACATTTGGGGGAAAAAGTCTCTTTTCTAAATTGGGAAAGTTGAGGGAAAAGTTCTCTTTTGGGGGGAAATTCTCTTTCCTAAATGCTCCCTCCAGCCCAGGCCCTGCTCCACGGGGGAGTCACAGCCTGGGTGTTTTTCATATTGTTCAACTCTTTTCTCAGTTTCTAGGGAAACACTTTAAAGCACTATATTTATGGGAACATCTTTCCAAACACCTCCGCCAACACTTAATTAATGGAGTTTTTGAGCCTGGCTCCAGCTCCTGCAAATTAACAGTGTGCCCTGATGGCAGCTGTGCAAGGGAGACCCCCAGGCTCTGGAAATAGAGCAGGGGTGCAGAGGGGCAGCTCCTGTTGGTGTTTGTGCCCAGCCCCGTGGGGAGCTCAGGTCCCCACACACCTCTGTGAGGTTTCATCTGCTTTTATCAGAGCAGTCTGTGCATGTGGAAATTCCCTGCACTCAGAGCTGCCCCACAAAAATGAACTTTTTGATGTCTTGCATCACATTTTGATGTCTCGCATCACATTTTGATGTCTTGCATCACATTCAGAACATGCACTTAGCTGGGCATGGAGAAGGAGGTTTAGCTAAAATCAAACCAAGGAATTGAAGTGTTCTGCTGTTGAGTCAAGGGTATTCCAGGTCCTTGCTTAGAGAGAACACCTGTCTGGAGCCTCCAGAAAGTGAGGCCATAAAATTGAGCTGGTGAACACCAGGGGCTGGGAGGTTTCTGGCTGCCACCACTGGAATTATCTTTAACAAACTTTGGGTTTTATAGTAAAGCTCAAAATGAGCTGGGAACTGTTTTTGTGTGGCCTGGAGTCACACAGGGGGTCAGGGAGGGTCTCAAATAAAATGTATTTTAGAAATCAATGTTTTATCCTGCCAGTGCCAAGTCTTCCATTAGCAGAGGTAACTGCAAGGAACTTTTTTGTTCCTCTGGAGGTTTGAAACTGGGAAGCTCTCCAGGAAATATCAGAAGTTAGACAGCCAATAGCTGTGTTTGTCTTTGCTGTCCAAGGTGTAAACAGGCAGTGGGAAAAGGGCACAGCTGGATATTTTAATACCCAGCCTCGTGCCAGGACCCTTCCAAGGGTCTTGACTAAATGCCGCTCATCTGACAATATTTTCCTCACTACAGATATTGTTTGAAAAAGCAGAGCAGGACCTCCCTGGTTTCTGATTTGAACATCTTGCAAGCCCTGGGCTTTGGGCAAAGATGGGAACAAAGGTTTGAGAAAGAGAAGTCAGAATGAGAATGACTGAGAAGTGCCAGAGGGGGTTTGATCAAGTGGTGACAAATCTCTGGGCATAGGGCAGGGCTTATTTTGGGGGAATTTTTACAGGAAAAGGTGCAATAAGACAGGGCATTGAGTGCTTTGAGCCCAGGAGCAGCAGCACAACTCCTGAAGAGCTGTGGGCTCTGTGCACCCCAGTTCTGCACCCGGGCATTGCAGGAGGCAATCATTATCAAATTCTCAATTCTGTGAGAAATCTGGGCACTCAGAGTATGTCTGGTGTGAGCCCAGACCTTTATTTTCCCACTCTGTATCATGGATCTGCACCCCGTCCCTCCCTGTTTCTAAACTCCTGAGGGAAAGCTTGAGTGGTGCATGTGTGTAATGGGGATGTCTCTGTGAGGTAAAATCATTCTGTACACAGCCAAATGACAAATATTCTTGTGCAGAAATGCACCCTGGGCTCTGCCTTCAGCACTGGGAGAATATGGAGGGGAAATGAATGAGAATTATTGGGAATATTGGAAATGGATGAGATTTATTTGGAATATTGGAAATGAGGAGCTTCACTCCACCTGCTCTCCTGAGCACAACTCTGTGCTCTGTTTGCTGTTGAGCATTCAGCCTTGTGTGTGACAGGAGGGAGGCAAAACCACCTAGAAAAGAGGGGATAATCACATTATGGTTATGGAATATTCACCAAAATCAGGATTGCTCTTCTGCTTCTTTCATCCCCCTCTGTTCCTCATGGAGCTGCTGTTGGCTTG